CGAAGAACCAATGGAAGTACGTGACTACGTGGACGAACTGAAAGAGAAGTTGGTCAACGTGCATGAACTAGTGAGGGGCCGGATCAAGATTGCCAGTGACCGAATGAAGACCCGTTATGATGTGAAGGCCAACTGTGGCGGATTCCAGGAAGATGACTTAGTGTGGCTGTATAACCCCCGACGGAAGAAGGGACGTTGCCCAAAACTGGCTCCTGACTGGGAAGGTCCATACACTATCGTCACTAGAATAAATGACGTAGTTTATCGGATCCAACGTGGACCGAAGACGAAGATGAAGATCGTTCATCTCGATCGACTAAAACGGTACGAAGGAAACAACGAAGACGCTTCCGATCGGGACGATCGGATTTGAAGAGGGGGGCAGTGTTACGAAATACACCCTTACGCCGCCCCAGTACGACGCCTATGGCGGTCGAGAGCCTTCTGGACGTACGCACGGCGCTGATGGGTGAATCATCGCTGTTGACGGCCGGGAGGCGGGCGCATAAAGACAGGTCTGGAGCGTCTCGAAGCGGCGTCCAGGGGAGTCTCGAAGCGGAGTCGCGATGGATGTTCGTGAAGGATCTCGATCAGAGACTATGGGTTTAAATAGAGGCGACCGTAGGTAATGGATTCATTCATCCAGTGAAGACAGTCGAGAGCGCCGGAATAATTTCTGTACATATTCGTCGCAATATATAGTGTTGTAATTCGACCTGAAGAAATAAATTTTTTGAGTTTTACCAACACCCGATTTATTATTCGTCCGTCAATCGTAACAATATTTAAGTTTTCGATTTTTCGATTTTGGCCTATTTCGGTTTCTCAATTTTTTGATTTTTCGACTCCTCGATTTTTTTGTCTTTTGATTTTTCGATTTCTCGATGTCTCAATTTTTGAATTTTACAATGTTTCGATTTTTTGCTTTTCGGTTTCTCGATTTTTCGATTTTTGATTTATCCGATTTTTCAATTTTCCAATTTTTTAAATTTTCGACTTCTCGATTCGTTGATTTTTCAGTTTTTCGATTTTTAAATTTTAGATTTTCGAATTTTTATTTTTTTGATTTTTTGATGTTTGGATTTCTCCATTTTTCAGTTTTAGGATATTTTAACTTTTCAATGTTTTAAATTTGAGATTTTTCGATTTTTCAGTACTTCAATATTTTTTTATTTTACAAATTTTGACGTTCCTGAATTTTTAGCTTTCGGATTTCTCAATTAATCTATTTTTTTATATTCCCATTTTTCCACTTCCTAAAGTTTCGATTTTTCAATTCTTCAGTTCTTCAATTTTTCGATTTTTTAAGTTTGCGATTTTTCGACTCTGCTTTTTTGACTTTTCTGTTTCCCAATTTTTTTAATTGCCTAATTTTTGGATATTTCGTTCAATTTTGTGATTTTTTAGTTTTTCGATTTCTCAATTTTAACTTTTCAGTTTTCAATTTTTAAATTATTACTTTTTTTCGATTTTTTGAGTTTTCAGTTCTTCTATATTTCAATTTTTCAATTTTCGGAATTTTTAAATTTTCGAATGCCCAATTTTTTTTTATTTTGCGATTTCCCAATTTTTCGATGTTTCGGTTTTTCGATTTTTTTCTTCTGAGCTTTTCAATTTCTGGATTTTCCAATTTTTCAATGTCCCGATTTTTCAATTTTTCACATTGAATTAGATTTCTCGATTCTTCAATTTTGCGATATTTTAAATTTTAGATTTTTCGATTTTTCAAATTTTTGCGTTAAATTTTCAGTTTTCTGATTTCTCAATTAATCTATTTTTGATTTTCCCGTTCTCAAAGTTTCGATTTTTCAGTTCTTCAATTCTTCGATTTTTCGACTTCGCTTTATTCGTTTTTCGATTTCTCAATTTTTGGATATTTCTTTCAGTTTTGATATTTTTCAACACTTCGATTCTTTGATTTTTTGACTTCTAGATTTTTCTATTTTTAATTTTTGGATTTTCAGTTTTTTGTTTTTTATACTTTGGATTTTTCAATTTTTCGATTGTTTTATGTTTCAATTTCGCATTTTTCAACTTTTCTATATTTTAATTTTTAAATTTCTAGATTTTTCGGTTTCTCGAGTTTCCAGTTCTATATTTTAATTCTTCAAATTTCCGAATTTTTAAATTTTTTGAGATCTCAATTTATTGAGATTTGGATGTTTCGATGTTTTGATTATTCAATCTCTCGCTTTATCAATTTTTCCATATTTAAGTTTTCGATTTTTCGATTTTGGCCCATTTCGGTTTCTCAATTTTTTGATTTTTCAACTCCTCGATTTTTTTGTCTTTTGATTTTTCGGTTTCTCGATGTCTCAATTTTTGAATTTTACAATGTTTCGATTTTTTGCTTTTCGGTTTCTCGATTTTTCGATTTTTGATTTATCCGATTTTTCAATTTTCCAATTTTTTAAATTTTCGACTTCTCGATTCGTTGATTTTTCAGTTTTAGATTTTCGAATTTTTATTTTTTTGATTTTTTGATGTTTGGATTTCTCCATTTTTCAGTTTTAGGATATTTTAACTTTTCAATGTTTTAAATTTTAGATTTTTCGATTTTTCAGCGACTGTAGTCGGCCGACTGTTCCGCTTTGCTAAAACCGGTTTATAAATGCAATAGACAGTGTGTTTTTTTTTTATATTTCTCTGACCACCTTAAAAATTTGTTTTATTGTAATAAAAGGAATAACTAAAGTTCCTTTGTTTTCCAAAATATATGTTAAATTTTTTGGATAATTTTAACATTTAATTTTTTGTAGTAACTCAGTACAAAAATAAAGAATAACACAATTTAGGGCTAGTTTATACAATACTTTAACTAATTTAACCACTTTTTTGGAAAATTTTTGGAAATTTGAATTCACTTTGCGTGCTTATTGGACCAGATATCGTGACGGCGATTTCAGAATCGTAACTAGCGGAAGATTATCTACACTTTGACACCAATTTTCGGTCGATTAAACCAATTTTAACCTGTTTAGCAAAGCCGAACAGTCGGCCGACTATAGTCGGTACATCTCTACTTTTCAATTTTTAATGTATTAATTTTTTTCGATTTTTTGAGTTTTCAGTTCTTCTATATTTCAATTTTTCAATTTTCGGAATTTTTAAATTTTGGAATGTCCAATTTTTTTTTTATTTTTCGATTTTTTTCTTTTGAGCTTTTCAATTTCCGGATTTTCCAATTTTTCAATGTCCCGATTTTTCAATTTTTCACATTGAATTAAATTTCTCGATTCTTCAATTTTGCGATATTTTAATTATTCAATGTTTTAAATTTTAGATTGTTCGATTTTTCAAATTTTTGCGTTAAATTTTCAGTTTTCTGATTTCTCAATTAATCTATTTTTGATTTTCCCAGTTCTCAAAGTTTCGATTTTTCAGTTCTTCAATTCTTCGATTTTTCGACTTCTCTTTATTGGTTTTTCGATTTCTCAATTTTTGGATATTTCTTTCGGTTTTGATATTTTTCAACACTTCGATTCTTTGATTTTTTGACTTCTAGATTTTTCTATTTTTTATTTTTGGATTTCAATTTTTTGTTTTTTATACTTTAGATTTTTCTATTTTTCGATTGTTTTGTGTTTCAATATCTCATTTTTCAACTTTTCCATATTTTAATTTTTAAATTTCTAGATTTTTCGGTTTCTCGAGTTTCCAGTTCTACATTTTAATTCTTCAAATTTCCGAATTTTTAAATTTTTTGAGATCTCAATTTATTGAGATTTGGATGTTTGATTATTCAATCTCTCGCTTTATCAATTTTTCCATATTTAAGTTTTCGATTTTTCGATTTTGGCCTATTTCGGTTTCTCAATTTTTTGATTTTTCGACTTCTCGATGTCTCAATTTTTTAATTTTACAATGTTTCCATTTTTCGATGTTTCGATTTTTGATTTATCCGATTTTTCAATTTTCCAATTTTTTAAATTTTCGACTTCTCGATTCGTTGATTTTTCAGTTTTTCGATTTTTAAATTTTAGATTTTCGAATTTTTATTTTTTTGATTTTTTGATGTTTGGATTTCTCCATTTTTCAGTTTTAGGATATTTTAACTTTTCAATGTTTTAAATTTGAGATTTTTCGATTTTTCAGTTCTTCAATATTTTTTGAATTTTCAAATTTTGACGTTTCTGAATTTTTAGCTTTCGGATTTCTCAATTAATCAATTTTTTTATATTCCCATTTCTCCACTTCCTAAAGTTTCGATTTTTTTTTAATTCCCTAATTTTTGGATATTTCGTTCAATTTTGTGATTTTTTAGTTTTTCGATTTCTCAATTTTAACTTTTCGTAGAGATGTACCGACTATAGTCGGCCGACTGTTCCGCTTTGCTAAAACCGGTTTATAAATGCAATAGACACTGTGTTTTTTTTTCTATTTCTCTGACTACCTTAAAAATTTGTTTTATTTTAATAAAAGGAATAACTAAAGTACCTTTGTTTTCCAAAAAATATGTTAAATTTTTTGGATAATTTTAACATTTAATTTTTTAATTTTAACTCAGTACAAAAATAAAGAATAACACAATTTCGGGTCAGTTTATACAATACTTTAACCAATTTTAATCACTTTTTGGAAAATTTTTGGAGTTTCAGTTCTTGTATATTTCAATTTTCGGAATTTTTAAATTTTCGAATGTCCATTTTTTTCGATTTCCCAATTTTTCGATGTTTCGATTTTTGAATTAACCGATTATTCAATTTCTCGATTTTTAAATTTTAGATTTTCCAATTTTTATTTTTTTGATTTTTTCATGTTTCGATTTCTCGATTTTACAATTTTCCCATATTTGAATTTTTCAATGTTTTAAATTTTCGATTTCGAGGATTTACTATGTTACAGTAGTCATCACGGCATATTTTTTTAACCTTTAATTTAATAAAACATAACCCAACGAAAAACGTTCAGGGAATTTTTTTCTTCTGCACTGAATACCAACAAACTCACTAGATTTTCATGGCCAACCCTACTATATAAAAATCGTGAACGGATAATACCTATTTGATGCTCCAGTTGGTTAATTTCGCGCCTCAATCTCTGTTTCTCTTCGTCTCTGCGCGAAACGTCGCTGATAATTTGGTACAAATCGTTCCTGCACGTCTGCAAATGCTCCTCCATGCCCTTGATTTTCTCATTCATGCTGTTAAGTTCGCGCAGGCGCTGTATCTTCTCTTGTTCCACTCTCGTCATACTAAAACCGACTTTCGAAAAAATTCCAAATCAAAAAAATACTCACTTCTCGTTGGCATTTTGGATTTCGTTGTTCAAAATGTTTGCGTCTTTCGTCTTGGTCTCGATCGCGCTACTCAACAGCTGCCTCTCCCTCCTCTTGCCGTCGTATTTACCCCTTAACTCCTCAATCGTTCTACGCACGTCCGCCTGTGGCCTTGACTGCACCTGAATCGTGTCCTTGAGTTCAGCGATTTGCTGAGTCAGAACACTACAAACCGTTTAACGCCTCATCCTCACCCGCAACGCACTCACCTGATGTTTTCTTTAATACTTTTGATTCTCTCGCTCCTTGTCGCGCATTCGTGCAGCGCACTCTCGTGCTTCTGGTTCCACTTATCCACGTTCTCCTCCTCCTTCCTCACCTCCTCTTCCGCGTCCCGCACTTTAGCCCAAATTAACTCAACCTGCGACAATTTAATCTTGTCGCGAATCCCCACAATCGAGCGATGATTGTCGATTTTTTTCTTCAAACTGCGCAATTCGTCTTGTAGTAGCCGACAATTCGTCTGCTTTTCTTCGAAGAGACGAACTGACTCGCGTCTATTGAGGTGGATGGTTTTGTATTCGTCCGAGAGGGTCTCGAGTTTGGTGGCCTTCATGAAGAGGGTGAATTTGCGCTTGGGGTCGCTGCTACTAAGGAAATTTCTTGAGGTGTCCTGGTTTAGAATGCACACAGGGTTGTCCACTTGGATGTTCAAACTTGTGGTGATGTTGTGGATTTCTTTGACGCTCGTGCTGATAATTTCGCCATTTTCGTTTTTTATTTTATAGCTGCCGGACCCCGATGACGTAAAATTCCGAAGTATGGTGATTTTGTCCCCGTACTTGCTCTGTCGGTACCCCATGGGGCCCCCATTGTAAATTTGTATTTCCACGCTGCCTGAGGTTTTTCCCGCTTTGATGAAGCCCTTGACACTTGTTCCCCGGTTAGTCAGACTTGCTTTGCCCCCAAGCCCCACGATCAAAGCGGTGAGGATGGCGCTCTTTCCGCTGCCGTTGCGCCCAATAACGATGTTAATGGTGTTTAAGTCGACGTCGAGCATTGAGTGACACATGAAATTCTTGAGGATCATCCGACTGATCGTGCCTGCACGTCTCTAAACACAAATCAAATAATGACCATTATTAAAAACGTTGTATTTTATTAGTTTACCTGGGTGTCATCACTGGTGCGTTTTTTCTTCGAGTTGAAAGCGACGCCGTTTGTCTGGGAGAGTTGAGACAGGGAAATCCCCTTCCTCTTTCGTGGCATCTTGAATGCAATAAATTATAACTCATGGGTACTTTCCCGACACGGCGGACGTAACGTCTTATCGTGATAAGACTGATAAATTATCGTAGTTTGGACAAGTACAAGTTTGAGGTTAGGTTTTTGAATGGGGCTCGAAACTGTTGTCACTCGATTATTCAGCGAGGACTGGCGAGATAAGTGTGTGATATCAACGAATTGTGTGAAAAATTGGGTAATCACTGCGAATTTGTGTGTAATCGCGCTTTAATTGGAAAAATGGAGGTTCTACTTACCACCACCGAATTTTCGTCCATTGTGGGGTTTTGCGACGTTTAAGACGCAACGGTGTTTTCGGAATGAATTGAACACAGTTGCGACTTTTTAGAAAACACACTTTTACGAGTAATCACATTTAACAAACAAAAACATTACACTAATTACTAAACAACGAGACGCGGGAACCGAAGTCGTTAAATTCGCGAGTTTGAATGTGCGCATGCGTGGACGTCATGGAAGTCACAGAACACTCACTGGATGGAAGTGGCTAATGTACCACGTTTGTAAAATAAAGAATCCAGAAGTGGCACAGATGCCGACTTCTAGCGGTCATTTTGCGCACTAGAGGAAGGAGCAACCAGGGTTCATGTGGAAAGAACAATTCAGAGATTAAAAACTGTGTTAAAAACTATTAAAATATTGTCTGATAAAATTGAATGGTTCCTAATTCCTCACGTTAATGCAATTATGCATTTGGTTGCAACTATTATATTGTGAATTTGTCTAGCCATATTTTAGCTGATGATAAATTTGGTGAATTGAATACGAAATAACAGTGAATTAGTGTAAAAATGTTTATTTTTACAGTATATATAAATCATGTTGCTTGTACTGTGTTGACACAGGTTCAATCCATTTTTTAGGTACCCTTTTTATTAAATGGCACATCAATTTTTAAATAATTTTTTGAAAATGGCGAGTTAACAATTAAATACAATTGAAAAAAAAATTGGTCGAAAACTATTTCGGCCAGAGACTTTAATACATAGACTGGCTGTGTCAGGAAAAACGTGAAGTTTTTCGACCGCCATATTGCTTATAACCGTAAGTGCGCGAAATTTGAATTTTCCGGTCACAAAATGCAATTTAAAATGTTAAATAAAAAAGACAACAAATTGTAATTATTTATTTAGCATAATAATATCTATATGTATATGTAAATTCCTTTAAAAATATTAATGTCCTTGAAACAAAATTAATTTCGTGAATTTTTGTCTTAAAGAGATAGCTTTTTCACGCTCAGTACTTAAGCGACACTCATAACCTATTCCGAGAGTCAAATAATTTCTCAAAATTAATTTTTGCAATAAATTAAAATAAGAATTATTTACGTTCAACTAATCCATACTAAACAAATGTTCATTATGTAGAAAAAAAATGTATGGTCCTACGTTGCAAAGTTAAAGCAAACATTTTAGTTACCAAATCATTTTTAATGGCCATATTTACAAACAATCTCGTAAGTCCCGACACACAACCACTTTTATTTCGAGGTCTAGAAACGTTCTGTGCTAGAAACTACTGCTGCTAACCACCACAACCTCACTTAATTTGACATAAAAGTTATAGCAATGGCGTCCATACTACTATGCGCCGTGGCTTCACCAAAATGCATTAGAAATGTTACTAACAGCCAGTCTATGTATTTAAAGTCTCTGATTTCGGCAGAACTTCCCTCGGACCTAAAGTACAGTGAAACATATCCAGCATTTTTGAGTTGAGTTTTTACTTTACAGAATTTTGTGATGACGTCATCAAGTGAGTCGTTCGTGATTTATTAATCGATAAAATAAATTGACACATACATTAATTTTTTTGAGCCACCTGTATAAGCAAATCTAAAAAATATGAATGCAATGATAAATCACAAGTGAAAAGTCATTATGTTTGCACATAATTTCGGGTAGATTTAGGAATTTATGTCGTTTCTATGAAAATTTGAAACTTAACACCTTTACATTTCACAAGTTTTTACAAAATTAAAAAATCAGTTTTATCTTAACAAGTACTAGGCCCACCCACCCATGGTAGAAGGAGACATGGTGTAGGCATCCGATGTACCAATTTAAAAATGGTCTGCGCATCCATTTGTGACGTTAGGTGGCATCAACGACCTTGTGACTCTTGTGAGTTTCGCTAGGGAAGTCTAGGGAATTTCAGCTTGAGTTGTGATTGCTCTGTCCAATACGTCAATTAGTTGTCAGATAACGAATTGTATTTTAAATTTCGCGCTAATTTCACCCCACTTGACGTCACACCCGATGCGTATACCTATACCATGTCTCCTTCTACCATGCACCCACCCGCCCCCTATTTTCTCAGAGGATATGTGATTTGCCAAAACAAGGCTTATGTTAGAAAGTACTAGCCCTTTATTTCCTCAGAGGACAGTACTTGCTAGTACTTGCTAAGATAAGTCTTATTTTGGCAAATTACATATCCTCTGAGAAAAGAGCGGGCGGGTGGGCGGGTCTAGTACTTGCTCAGATAAATCTGATTTTGGCAGACGTCATTCACTCTGAGAAAAGAGCGGGCGGGTGGGCGGGGCTAGACTTGCTCAGATAAGACTGGTTTTGGCAGACATCATACACCCTGAGAAAAGAGCGGGCGGGTGGGCGGGGCTAGTACTTGCTGAGATGACGACTGATTTTGGTAGACGCCATACACTCTGAGACAATAGGGGCAGGTGGGCGGGGCTAGTACTTGCTCAGATATGACTGATTTTGGCAAACGCCATTCACTCTGAGAAAATAGCGTTCGGGTGCGTTCCGTCTGACTGTCTGTCTGTCTGTATCCATTTTTTTAATCTCCGAAACTGCTGGACCGATTGTTGTCAAATTTTGTACATAAAGTCTTTGCCATTTCTATTGAAACACCACTTGTTGATCGTAAATTTGGCAACGTTCATACTCAGACAATTTTCTAACTAAAAGCCGTTGCCAATCAACCGAAAACTGTTAGCAATTGCTAAATTTTAGGCAAAATCAACAGGTGGTGTTTCAATAGAAATGGCAAAGACTATATGTTAGAAATATCATGTAGATGGTTAAATACTAACCAACGTTTGGCTTATTATCCCCACTAAGAATAAGATACTCTTGTACTTGTGTCTTTCACCCTCGACATCCAGAATTTTTAGAAAAAATTAAAAACTGAATAAGAATATTTTACAATATAACTTTGAAACTGCAAAGCTGATTGCTCGGAGATCTTGTAAATATTTTAAAGTTGTCGTAATCATGGTAAATCGTTAAGCAAAATTTATTTTTTACCACCTCCCAAAAAACTGATGCCGTCATCTCAAAATTTTATATCTTATCTTAACAAGTACTAACCCCGCCCACCCGCCCTCTCTTTTCTCATAGTGTATGACGTCTGCCAAAATCAGTCTTAACTGAGCAAGTATTAGCCCCGCCCACCCGCCCGCTCTTTTCTCAGAGTGTATGACGTCTGCCAAAATCAGTCTTATCTGAGCAAGTATTGGCCCCGCCCACCCGCCCGCTCTTTTTTCATAGTGTATGACGTCTGCCAAAATCAGTCTTATCTGAGCAAGTATTAGCCCCGCCCACCCGCCCGCTCTTTTCTCAGAGTGTATGACGTCTGCCAAAATCAGTCTTATCTGAGCAAGTACTAGCCCCGCCCACCCGCCCGCTGTTTTTTCAGAGTGTATAACATCTGCCAAAATCAGTCTTATCTGAGCAAGTACTAATAAGTAGTAGCCTCTGAGAAAATAAAGTCGGCTGGGCGGGGCTAGTACTTGCTAACATAAGTCTTATTTTGGCAACTGACATATTCTCTGAGAAAATAGGGGCGGGTGGGGCGGGGCCTAGTACTTGCTCAGATAAGACTGATTTTGGCAGACGTCATACACCCTGAGAAAAGAGCGGGCGGGTGGGCGGGGTAGTACTTGCTCAGATAAATCTGATTTTGGCAGACGTCATACACCCTGAGAAAAGAGCGGGCGGGTGGGCGGGGCTAGAACTTGCTCAGATAAGACAGATTTTGGCAAACGCCATTCCCTCTGAGAAAATAGCGTTCGGGTGCATTCCGTCTGACTGTCTGTCTGTCTGTTTGTATCCATTTTTTTTAAAGACGTAATCTCCGAAACTGCTAGACCGATTGTCAAGTTTTGTACATATGTTAGAAATATCATGTAAATGGTTAAATACTAACCAAAATTTGGCTTATTATCCCCACTAACAATAAGATACTCTTGTACTTGTGGTGTGTGAATCCGTGTCGAATTTTCACCCTCGACACCCAGAATTTTGATAAAAAATTGAAAACTGAACAAGAATACTTTACAATATAAGTTTGAAACTGCAAAGCCGATTGCTCGGAGATCTTGTAAATATTTTAAAGTTGTCATAATCATAGTAAATCGTTAAGCAAAATTTATTTTTTACCACCTCCCAAAAAAGTGATGACGTCTTCTTAAAATTTCTTATGTTATCTCAGCAAGTACTAACCCCGCCCACCCGCCCGCTCTTTTCTCAGAGTGTATGACATCTGCCAAAATCAGTCTTATCTGAGCAAGTACTAGCCCCGCCCACCCGCCCGCTCTTTTCTCAGGGTGTATGACGTCTGCCAAAATCAGTCTTTCTGAGCAAGTACTACGCCCGCCCACCCGCCCCTATTTTCTCAGAGGATATATCATTTGCCAAAATAAGACTTATCTTAGCAAATATCTATGAGAAAATAAAGCGCGGAATTTTTCGCATTCTTTCGAACTTCTGCAGATTCCTTTGAACTTTTCAGATTCTTTCAGAACGAAAAGGACCAAAATAAGGAAGAAAACGTACGAAAAAAGACAAAAGGACGATAAAGGACGAAAAAGGACGAAAAGGACCAAAAAGGAGGAAACAGGACGAAAAGGACGGAAAGGGATGAAAAAAAAGAAACAGACGAAGAAGGACGAAATGGACGAAGAAGAACGAAAGATGACGAAAAGGACGAAAAAGGACGAAAAGGACGAAAAAGAACGAAAAAGGACGAAAAAAGACGACAAGAACGAAAAGGGACGAAAAGGACGAAAAAGGACGAAGAAGGACGAAAAGATTGAAAAAGGTCGAAAAGGACGAGAAGGACTAAGAAGGACGAAAAATGACGAAAAGGAGGAAAAAGGGCGAAAAGGACTAGAAAGGACGAAAAAGGATGAAAAGGACGGAAAAAGAACGAAAATGGACGAAAAAAAAACGAAAAGGACGAAAAATGTAGACAATGGACGAAAAGGACGAAAAGGATGAAAAAGGACGAAAACGACGAAAAAGACCAAAAGGACGACTAAGGACGCAAAGGAGGAAAAGGATGAAAAAGTACGAAAAGGACGATAAAGCACGAAAAGGACGTTGTAGTTTATTGTAGTTTTTGTCTTTATTTTACTCTGTAACAGCTTTATTGGCGTTAATAAATGCAATTATAAAAGGACGAAAAAGAACGAAAAAGGACGAAAAGGACGAAAAAGGACGGAGAAGGATGAAAAAAAAAGAAACAGACGAAGAAGGACGAAAGAGGACGAAAAGGACAAAAAAGGACGAGAAGGACGAAAAGGACGACAAAGTACGAACGAACGAAAAAGGACGAAAAAAAAACGATAAGGACGGAAAGGGACGAAAAGGATGAAAAAGGACGAAACGGACGAAAAAGGACGAAGAAGGACGAAAAGGATGAAAAAGGTCGAAATGGACAAGAAGGACTAAGAACCACGAAAAATAACGAAAAGGAGGAAAAAGGGCGAAAAGGACTAGAAAGGACGAAAAAGGATGAAAAGGACGAAAAAGGACGAAAATGAACGAAAAAAAACGAAAAGGACGAAAAATGTCGAAAATGGACGAAAATATAAGATAAGATAAGATAAGATTTATTCGTGCCAACATATAAAAAATATTTATTTTTAAAGGACGAAACGGATGAAAAAGGACGAAAACGACGAAAAAGATCAAAAGGACGAATAAGGACGAAAAGGAGGAAAAGGACGAAAAGGACTAAAAAGGACGAAAAGGACGAAAAAGGTCGAAAAGGACTAAAAAGGACGAAAAAATGAAAAGGACTGGAAAGAACGAAAAAGGACGAGAAGGATGAAAAACAGCGAAAAAGGACGGAAAGGACAAAAAATGTCGAAAATGGACGAAAGGAACGAAAAGGATGAAAAAAGACGAAAAAGACCAAAAAGGAAGAAACAGGACGAAAAAGATCGAAAAGGACTAAAAGGGACGAAAAAGATGATAAGGACTGGAAAGGACGAAAAAGGACGAAAGGGACGAAAAACAACGAAAAAGGACGGAAAGAACGAAAAATGTCGAAAATGGGCGAAAGGAACAAAAAGGATGAAAAAGGACGAAAAAGACCAAAAGGACGAAAAGGACGTAAAGGACGAAAAAGGACGCAAAGGACAAAAAGGACGAAAAAGGAGGAAAAGGATTAAGAAGGACGAAAAATGACGAAAAGGAGGAAAAAGGAAGAAAAGGGCCAGAAAGGACGAAAAATGTCGAAAATGGACGAAAAGGCTGAAAAAGATGAAAAAGGACGAAATAGGACGAAAAGGACGTAAAGGACGAAAAAGGACGCAAAGGACAAAAAGAACGAAAAAGGAGGAAAAGGATTAAGAAGGACGAAAAATGATGAAAAGGAGGAAAAAAGGCGAAAAGGGCTAGAAAGGACGAAAAATGTCGAAAATGGACGAAAAGGATGAAGAAGATGAAAAAGGACGAAAACGACGAAAAGGACGGAAAAGGACGAAAAGGAGGAAAAAGGAAGGAAAGGGCCAGAAAGGACGAAAAATGTCGAAAATGGACGAAAAGGATGAAAAGGACGCAAAAGTACGAAAAACGACGACAAAGGACGAAAAAGACAAAAAAGGTCGAAAAAGACGAAAAGGACGAAAAAGGACGAAATGGAAGAAAAGGACGAAAAGGACGAAAAAGGACAAAAAAGAACGACAAAGACCCCCATCACAAATCCTCAAGATTCTTTAAAATGTCTTAGTTCTGTTTAGATTGTTTCAGATCCTTACAAATCTTATCAGATTCCTGCAGACTTTTTCAGATTTTTCTAGATTCTTTTAGATTTTGCTAGATTCTTCAAGATTTTCTCATTTTCCCTGGAGAAATCTGAGGGAATCTCGAAAAATCTAGAAGAATCTTAAAGAATCTGAACGATTTTACAGGACTTTGAAACAATGTGGGAAAATTTGAAAGCAAATATTATTATTAATATTAAAATTCAGAGAATCCTAGAGAGTCTGAGCGAATGTAACAGAATTTGAGAAATTCGTAAAGAAACTGAAGGAATTTGAAGCAGTTTGAAAGAATCTGAGGGAACCTGTGAGAAACTGAGAGAATTTTGAAGAATTTGGAAGAATCTGAAAAGATCTAAAACGATCTGAATAGAACTGAAAAATTTGAAAGAATCTGGAGAATTCCTGATGCTCTTTGACAGAATCTTAAAAAATTTGATTGTAAACAAACCGGAAGCATCGAAAAGTATCCGTAATAATCAGAAAGATTAAAAAAAATCGAAAAAACCTGAAAGAGAGAATCAGAAAGAAAATGAAAGAATCTGAATGCACTTGAAAGAATCTGAAGGAAACCTGTGGGAATCTGTGAGAATCTCGAAGAATTTAGAAAAATCTGGAAGAATTTGGAATAGTCTTCAGGGATCTGAAAGCATCTGCACGGTTTTAAAACGACCTGAATAGAATTCAAAAATTTGAAAGAGTCGTGAGGATTCCCGACGGTGTCTTTGAAAAGAAGAATCTTAAAAATAGGAAAGAATCTGGAATAATCTGAGGGAATCCAAGAAAATCTGAGGAAATATGATACTAAGAATCGGAAAGAATCTCAGGAAATCTGGACGAATCTAGGTAAATCTGGCAGAATCTGAGACAATTTGAGAGAACGTAGAAAAATGTAGAAAAAATTGGAAGAATCTGGAACAGTCTGCAAGGACCTGCAAGGATCCAAAGCGATCTTGAAAAATTCTGAGGAAATCCGAGAGAATCTTCAGGGATATTGAGAGAATTTGAAAGAATATAAAAAAATCGGTAACAAAGTGTATTTTTTCTAGAATTGAATTATAAACGAATTGAATTAAACGATAAACAGAAATTAACGCAAATTTTTTCCAAAATTCAAGATGAGTGTTAAAATTAATCAAACACGAATTAGATTTTCTGACTTAGAAAAATTACACATTTTTGACGTGCTTACTGTTTATAAAATTTCATTTTTTCCGAAAAACTTTCCATGTCAAGTAAAAACTTTCGTGTAGTGTTGGTTGCCTAAACATCAAATCACAATGGAAGGTTATAATTTATAATTATCAAGTGAAACAAATTTGGAACACAAAGTCGGATTCTAAGTATATAACATATTTGAAATAAATTAAGAATACTTTTCTGCGTATAATTTAAGTTACACGTCCCCCACGTCCAAATTAACCCCCAACGCCGTAAAATTCCTTCCACAATGAAGCCATTAACACCTAAGACCCAGCACTAAAACCCTCATTCAGTATTTAGTTCGCGCGTGACACAGCTCGCAGATAAGACCAAAATAAAACAGTATTTACTCAAGGCGACTTTATCACCCAATTATCAACGTGCAACGAACAGTTTATTTTCGCCTTCACCATGTCCAACCCAATCTTCATCCACGAAGACCAAGTGAAAAAACTGTTGAACTGGGACAGCACCTTCGACGCAGTGGAAGCAGCCTTGGAGAGCGTGTACAACAAGCGGGCTGTTCAAAGTCCCCGAACTTTCACGCAATCAACAACATCGAAAACGTTGTTGTTAACCATGCCGGGACACTTAGATAACGAGCGTTTCGGGGCATTAGGATGCAAATTGGTTACTGTTGCCCCTGATAATATTAATTTGGAGCATCCTTTACCGACCATAAACGCGCAAATTTTGCTGTTTGAGGAAGCCACTGGAATTTTAAAGGCGGTGAGTAGAATGAAACGAGCAATTGTAATTAGGATGTGAAGTGGGTTGCATAAGTTTGCAGCGGTGTGTATAATGTGTTGCATAGTCACAATTTTCAGGTCGTTGGCGGTACTGAAATAACGAAGTGGCGCACGGCTGCCGCCTCCGCAGTGGCCACTAAACACCTTAAACCGAAAGAGTTTCAAGTTTTAGCGATATTGGGGGCCGGGGTTCAAGGACGGATTCACGCTATATGTTTCAATCACTTTTATGACTTCAAAGAGGTGTTTTTGTTGTTTTTTTTTTAACAATTTTTGTTTAAATTCTCCTTTGAAAGATACGTATCTGGAACCATAATGTTCACAAAGCTGAAACTCTAGTGCAGGAGCTCAATCAAGTTTACAATTGTCAAAAATTCAAGTGTTGCCAATCTAACGAAGAATGCGTTAGAGGTGCCGATGTTGTTGTGACGGCTACTTTTGCCAAAAGTCCGATTGTACAGAAGGAGTGGCTGAAAGATGGGGTTCATATTAACGGTATGATTCTTATTGTAAAAAAATCGCGTTAGAGACACTTTCTCCAATACGTTTTCGTGGACTAAGTGAAGAATAAAGTCGAGACAGGGCCTGAATAAATCTTTTGAATAAATTCCAGCCGTCGGCGCCGGTCTCGTCCATCACAGCGAACTTTCCGAATCAATTTATCAGTCATCCCATGTGTATATAGACCATTGGGCTGGAGCCCAAACCGAGTTAGCCGGTTTGGGGAAACTGGGAGTCGAATTCAAGGGTGAAATCGGAGGGGTTATAACCGGAGACTTGCCGCCGCCCCCTCTCGATCAAGTTACCGTGTTCCAGAGTTTAGGTAATAGCATTGTTTAAGTATATTATAGTTGGACAACCTATACAGACAATCACTTTCCCATGTAGAAAAGAATGAATATATATTTTACATCTCACTCGCTTCACTATGAAGTGGCGGTACCTTACGAAAGGGGGTAAAAATAGTCCGTAAACACGTGATGTCGATAAGATAGTAAATGGACGTATTAATCAGTACGTTGTACGGGAAGCAGTCACAAAATAAGCAAACGTACGTGTTGAAGACTTTACATATATGTAATATATGTATATGTAGTGCATACCTGTTTCAAAGTTAAGGTATCAAAAATTTAATATTATCGCGGTATACCTATTATCCATGAACTGCATGGCTAACAAATATGCGTCCCTTCGTCCACTTTAAAGGTACGAAATTAAACGACCACTACTTTAATTAATAAGTAACAAGTCATCTAATTTGCCTCCAGAATAACTATAGGTTATTATCAAACTATGAAAACCAAATTAATTCAATATGAACATCTTCTTGCGTATTTTTTTTATTAACAGTAGTCAAATCATTAAATGTATTTTATCCTAAGATTGTATCACAAAATATTCATCACCATTGAAATACATACGATTTAGACATCAAGAAATAAATTTAAAATTGCAAAAATTATATCTAGCAGAATTAAAACAGACTTAAATGTGTCTTGTATGTACGTGCTTATCAGTATGTAGGCACAGCAATAATCGTTCTTTATGAGTAGTCATGTAACACAGTAAATCCTCGAAATCGAAAATTTAAAACACTGAAAATTTCAAATATGGGAAAATTGTAAAATCGAGAAATCGAAACATAAAAAAATCAAGAAAATTAAAATTGGAAAATCTAAAATTTAAAAATCGAGAAATTGAACAATCGGTTAACTCAAAAATCGAAACATCGAAAAATTGGAAAATCGAAAAATAAAAAAAATTGGACAATCGAAAATTTAAAAATTCCGAAAATTGAAAAATTGAAATATAGAAGAACTGAAAACTCAAAAAATCGAAAAAAATTAATTATTTAAAAATTGAAAAGTTAAAATTGAGAAATCGAAAAACTGAAAAATCACAAAATTGAACGAAATATCAAAAAATTAGGAAATTAAAAAATTGACAAACAAAAAAGTCAAAAAAGCAGACTCTAAAAATCGCAAACTTAAAAAATCGAAAAATTGAAAAACCAAAAACCTGAATAATCGAAAAATTGAAGAAGTGAAGAACTGAAAAATCGAAACTTTAGGAAGTGGAGAAATGGGAATATAAAAAAATAGATTAATTGAGAAATCCGAAAACTAAAAATTCAGAAACGTCAAAATTTGAAAAATAAAAAAATATTGAAGAACTGAAAAATCGAAAAATCTAAAATTTAAAACATTGAAAAGTTAAAATATCCTAAAACTGAAAAATGGAGAAATCCAAACATCAAAAAATAAAAAAAAAATAAAATTCTAAAATTTAAAAATCGAAAAACTGAAAAATCAACGAATCGAGAAGTCGAGAATTAAAAAAATTGGAAAATTGAAAAATCGGATAAATCAAAAATCGAACCATCGAAAAATCGAGAAACCGAAAAGCAAAAAATCGAAAAACCAACAAATCGAAAAATCGAAACATTGTAAAATTCAAAAAATGAGACATCGAGAAATCTAAAAATCAAAAGACAAAAAAATCGAGGAGTCGAAAAATCGAGAAGTCGAAAAATCAAAAAATTGAGAAACCGAAATAGGCCAAAATCGAAAAATCGAAAACTTAAATATGGAAAAATTGATAAAGCGAGAGATTGAATAATCAAAACATCGAAACATCCGAATCTCAATAAATTGAGATTTCAAAAAATTTAAAAATCTGGAAATTTAAAAAATTAAAATATAGAACTGGAAACTCGAGAAACCGAAGAATCTAGAAATTTAAAAATTAAAATATGGAAAAGTTGAAAAATTGAGAAATTGAAATAAAAAACAAAAAACTGAAAATCCAAAAATAAAAAATAGAAAAATCTAGAAGTCGAAAAATGAAAGAATCGAAGTATTGAAAAATATCAAAACTAAAAGAAATATCCAAAAATTGAGAAATCGGCAAACCAATAAAGCGAAGTCGAAAAATCGAAGAATTGAAGAACTGAAAAATCGAAACTTTGAGAAGTGGGAAAATCAAAAATAGATTAATTGAGAAATCAGAAAACTGAAAATTTAACGCAGAAATTTGTAAAATTGAAAAATTTAAATACTGAAGAACTGAAAAGTAAAAAAATCGAGAAATCGAAAAAACTAAAATTTAAAACAATGAATAATTAAAATATCGCAAAATTGAAGAATCGACAAATCCAATTCAATTTGAAAAATTGAAAAATCGAGGCATTGACAAAATGGAAAATCCAGAAATTGAAAAGCTCAAAAGAAAAAAATCGAAAAACCCAGAAATCCAAAAATCAAAACATCGAAAAATTCAAAAACTGAGACTTCGAGAAATCGAAAAATCGAAGGATCGAGAAATTGAGGAGTCGGAAGCCGAAAACGAAAGTTAAAAATTGAAAAATTGAGAAATTGAACAATCAAAACAACGAAACATCTGAATTCGATAAATTGAGAAATTAAAAAATTGAATAATCGAAAAATTTTAAAAAAGAAAAACTGGAAAATCGAAAATTAAAATTCAAAAAATCGCAAAATTGAAAAATTGAAATATAGAAGAACTGAAAACTCGAAATATCGAAAAACCTAGAATTTTAAAAAATGAAATATTAAAACATCGAAAAGTTAAAAAATTGAGAAATCGAAGCATTAAATAGTCCCAGAATTGAAAAATCTAAAGTTTACAATAAATTGAAAATCCAAAAAGGAAAAAAGCGAGAAATCAAAAAAAAATCCATCAATTCAAAAATCGAAAAGTCGAAAAATTGAAATATTGAAAAATCTCATAACTGAAAGAAATATTCAAAAAATTGAGAAATTAAAAAATTGGAAAATTGAGAAATCGAAAATCTAAAAAAGCAAAATTGAAAAATCATAATCTTAAAAAATCGAAAAATTGAAGAATTGAAGATGTGAAAAATCGAAACTTTAGGAAGTTCAGAAATGGACAAATAAAAAAAAATACTTTAGAAATCGGCAAACTGAAAATTTAGAAACGTGAAAATTTGAAAAATTGAAAAATCGAAATATTTAAAAACCGTAAAATTGAAGAGGACAAAAATTGAGAAATCGTATCATTGAAACATCGAAAGATTGAGAAATCGAAAAATAAAAAAATCAAGAAATAGTAAATTTAAAGAATGGAGGAATCGGAAAAGCCCAAAATTGAAATATTGAAAAATTGAGACATTTAAAGTTGAAAAATCGAGAAATCGACAAGCCGAAAAATCCCAATAGCGTATTTAGGTATAAATCACAAGATCAGGACTATTCTACTTTTTAAAATTTAAATAACATTATAAATTGGAAAATGTAGATTTTTTTTCGAAAAATCTTGACGTCTAAGGTGAAAACTCGACACGGATGCATAAACCGTAAACGGGGCGAATTTACAATTTTACTATTGTAAAATTTGGAGATTGCGTCATTTCATTGTTCGTGACAAATTTTGGTGAGTGTAATTTGATAATGCAATTTGAAATGTAAATTTTGTCATTCGGGAACATTATGTATTAAATCGTCAAGATGTTCAAGAACTTTGTTCACTTATTCGTTGTAAAGTCCAATGGTCGAAATGGGTTAATTCTTCGTAGTGGATGTGTATCAGATCAACTCTAATGAATATCGGTTTATAGATAAATGGCTTAAAGCCGATATTGGCCTGAGTGTACTTTGGTTTGTAGATCAAACAAGTTCTCAGGCGACGAAAAATTGCTTGTGGAGGGAGACTTCGGATTACAAATCGTGCCAAGAAAACATATTTGGGAGAGATGGATTTTCAGGTGCTTGACTAGCGATAATTTTAAATTGTTTGCTGTCGTTCGCGAAGTGAAGAACACAATTTCATTAAAATGATAACTATAAAATTATCATAGTCACTATTGGTATTAATTAACACAAGATGGCGCGCAAGTTATCAGTTGATTTCGTTAATAAATTCATAGAAACCTATATGGGATTTTTTCAGGCCTTAGAAAATTAAAAAGTAAAAAATACAATAACAAAAATTTTAAAATGCGGTTTACGAAAAATTAGTAGTCCTGTGCAAAGAAGAAAATTTTGGAAACGCTGACAAATACGACATCTCAAAAAAAATAACACAAGAAGTGCTTTCGGCGTAGTATTTTTGATGCTGGCGTGAACAAAATACTCTGTGTCTGTGTCAGTGTGCAGTGCGCAAAGAGTTAATTGTGCAGATCTAGCCGAAAATCCGAAAACCAGATCGCTGTGTGTAGGGCCAGCATAACGGAAGTAATAAATCATCCCATCGGTTGAAGAACGTTGGGTCGGTGCACTGATGTCGATGTTATATCCCGAGAGGGGCCCAATACACCCAATAAAATCGAACAGACAAAATAAAGCTTCAAACATGATTATTTTTTTACTAAAATTTTGAAATTTATAAACTTCACATTTTATTTATTTATTTATTTATTTATTTATTTATTTTATCTTGTTTTCGAACTATAATAAACATTTCAAATAATGTCTGTAACTTATTTTAATGTAAATTATATTAATGTGGTAACAAAACTCAGATGTAATATTAGTGTGATTCTGATATTATTCTAGATTTTATTACAGCAGAACGGCGTATCCTTTTTAAATTTTAGAAGTTACGGAAACTAGTTAAAGAAACAATTAGTTATCTCGTATTTTTTGAACAAAATCTACCAAAATGTCGGACAACAGCAATTGTTTTTCATAGAAACAAACAGTCTTCAAAGCAGCCTTTAACAACTCGATATTACAAACATGCGTCTTAAGTTCTTAATGCGTTTTTTTCTCTTTTGTAATTATTTGTAATGTTAACGCCGAAAGTTTATGTCATTCTGTTATTTACTTTGAACATATATTTTCATTTTGTGTTAATATTTTTGTAACACCACGAATCTAAATTTTACTTAAAATCTTGTTTTACTTTAATCTTGTAAAACTAAACAATTATACCAGTTTAAAAACCCTTGGAAAGTTTCTGTCAGTCTTCAGATATAGTCAAATAAAAATATGCGTCAAATTCATTTAAATTCAATTCTTTCTTATCACGTTACAACGCGTTGCTTCATATTTTTTATGTCAAGTATATTTTCATATTTTGTACATATATGTTTATACACATTACTGTTTACGGAACAATGTTAATTATGGATTTATGGATAACTCCTCGTATAAGAGCAGAGTGATCAGTGAAGGGTGTTTGCCTTTACTAATGTTTGATGGCGCCATCTGATTTAGAGTAAACTAAACCTAATACGTTGGCTCACTGTAGCGAAAATGCACGTTGACGAAAAATTTGTCCCACGCCCCCTGGATTCCTTGTCCTAAAGCTCACTATTTAGGCGAAGTAAAATTTGTATTAGGTTGTCCAACTATAATATACTTAAACAATGGTAATAGTAATAAACGTCCTATTTTTACGCCGACTAATTTGATGCTTTTTAAATACTGAAAAAGGAAAGTAATAGGATAGGCAACCCATTATACTGAAGAATTTTTTTATTGTAGGGATGGCGGCGGAGGATTGCGCTATGGCTCGTCTCATTTACGACCTTTTCATCCAGGAGTCAAACATGAACTAATTATACCTATATACATATTCTTGGATTCAATAAATTAATAACGAATTAAAAAGTAATGCGTTTTTTTATTCCTACAAAGTCGACCCCACTTAAAATTTATTACAGAACTAGTGATAGAGTTACATTGAGTGCACACTAAACTCCAGCGGCGACCAGCACGAACAAGTGCTCCGAAGTGCTTTCCTGAGAGTTAGAGGCGTGCTCTCACATTACACGTCACGTGACTCACATCCGTACTGATCCAATCACGATGAAATTAGAGCAGCAAAATCAGACCACGTCGTAGGCGCGCCCACAATTACCCAATCGCTACTCGATTACATCGAATAAATCTTATTTAATAAATTCCAGTCGAGGCGCCGGCCTCGTCCACGTCGAGCTCCCCGAATCAATTTATTTACCGTCCCGTGTGTATAGCGACCATTGGCTTGCAACCCAAACCGAATTAGCCGGTGTGGGAGCCGAATTCGGGGGCGAAATTGGAGGTGTTCGCGTTGCCGCCGGAGTTTACGACGGGTTTGGTGTAATAGAAATTTAAACAATACGATACCGGGGGCGGCTTGTGCTATTAGTTCATGTTTCAGCAAGGAATTTGTGCTGTGTTATTATTTTTATTATTTCTCACGAATACATTTTCCACCATTTTTTTTATTTTAAAAATAAATGTTACCTGAAATGATCTGTAAAAATTTTGAATGAATCTAAGAGAATTTATGAATGTGAGCAAATCCGAGAGAATCTGGAAGAATTTGGAATAGTCTGCACGGATCTGAAAGGATTTGTTAGGATTACAAACAAGAATTTTAAAGAATCTGGAGTAATCTGAGGAAATCTGGAAGAATCTAAGAGAATGTGAAGGAATATAAGAGAAGTTATGATTTTACAAGATTAATAGGGGCAAAATCAGTTTTATCTTGACAAGTACTAGGAACGCCAACCCGCCCTATATCTCGTCAGAGGGTAGTACTTGCTAAGATAAGTCTTATTTTGCCAAATGACATCCTCTGAGAAAACAGGGGCAGGTGGGCGGAGCTAGTACTTGCTCAGATAAGACTGATTTTGGCAGACGTCATACATTCTGAGAAAAGAACGGGCGGGTGGGCGGGGCTAGTACTTGCTTAGATAAGACTGATTTTGGGGCATCTTGTATAGAATTTGTTTGGCAAAATTTTGAGATAACGTCATCAGTTTTTTGGGAGGGGGTAAAAATTACATTTTGCTTAACGATTTACCATGATTACGGTAACCTTAAAACATTTACAAGATTTCCGAGCAATCGGCTTTGAAGATTCAAAATTATATCGTAAAATATTCTTATTCAGTTTTAAATTTTTTCTAAAAATTTTGGATGTCTATGGTGAAAATTCGACACGTATTCACATATCACAAGTACAAGAGTAACATATTTTATGAAATTAAAAAAACTTGTAATTATAAAGATCTAAGGTATTCTAAAAAAACTGGAAAAATTTGGAAGAATTTTGAAGAATCTGCAGGGATCTGAAAGGATCTGTAAGGATCTAACATCGTTTGAGTAAAACTAAAAAATTCCAAAGAATCTGAAATAATCTGGAAGAATAAAAAAAATCGAAAGAATCTGATAGAGAGAAACATCAAGATAATGAAAGAATCTAAAACAATCTGGAGGAATTTGAGAGAATCTAAGAGAATTTGAGAAAAATTTGGAGATTTGGAACTAATCTAAAGGAATTTGAGAGAATCTGAAAGAATCTGAGGGAATCTGAAAGAAATTGGGAGATTCGGAAAGAATTGGAAAAGATCTGAGGGAAATTGTGACAATCTCAGCGAATTTTGAGGAATTTCGAAGAATTTAGAAAAATCTTAGATATTCTAAAAAAACTGGAAGAATTTGGAAAAATTTGGAAGAATTTTGAAGAATCTGCAGGGATCTGAAAGGATCTGTAAGGATCTAACATCGTTTGAGTAAAACTAAAAAATTCCAAAGAATCTGAAATAATCTGGAAGAACAAAAAAAATCGAAAGAATCTGATAGAGAGAATCATCAAGAAAATGAAAGAATCTGAAACAATCTGGAGGAATTTGAGAGAATCTGAGAGAATTTGAGAGAAATTTGGAGATTTGGAACTAATCTGAAGGAATTTGAGAGAATCTGAAAGAACCTGAGGGAATCTGAAAGAAATTGGGAGATTCGGAAAGAATTGGAAGAGATCTGAGAGAACATGTGACAATTTCAGCGAATTTCGAGGAATTTCGAAGAATTTAGAAAAATCTAAGATATATTAAAAAAAAAAGAATTTGGAAAAATTTGGGAGAATTTGGGGAATCTATAGGGATCTGAAAGGATCTGTAAGGAACTAAAATCGTCTGAGTAGAACTGAAAAATTCCAAAGAATATGAAATAATCTGGAGGAATAAAAAAAAATCGAAAGAATCTGCAAGAGAGAATCAGCAAGAACATGAAAAAATCTGAAAGCAGATGAATGAAAGAATCTGGAGGAACTTGAGGGATTCTGAATGAATTTGAGAAAAATTGGGAGATACGGAAAAAATCCAAAGGAATTTGAAAGGATCTGGAAGGCAGCATTGAAAAAAGTCCGGAATAATCTGAAAGAATAAAAAAAAACGAAAGAATCTGAAAGAGAGAATCTGAAAGCATCTGAAAGAATCTGGGGGAATTTGAGGGAATCTGAGAGAATTTGAGGGAAATTGGGAGATTCGAACAGAATCTAAAGAAATTTGAGATAATTTGAAAGAATCTGAGGAAATGTGAAAGAAATTGGGAGATCTGGAAGAATCTAGAAGAATTTTGACGAATCTACAGGGATTTGAAAGGATCTGTAAGGATCTGAAATAATTTGAGTAGAACTGAAAATTATGAAAGTATCTTGAGGATTCCTGACTGTGTCTTTGAAAGGATCTGAAAAAATGCGAAAAAACCTGAAACAATCTGGAAGCATCGAAAGAATCCGGAATAATCAGCAAGAATAAAAAAAATCGAAAGAATCTGAAAGAGAGAATCAGCAAGAAAATGAAATAATCTGAAAGAATCCAGAGGAATTTGGAAAAATCTGAAGGGATTTGAAAGAATTGGTAGAAATTTGAGGGAACTCAGCAGATTTTGAGGAATTTCGAAGAATTTAGGACAACGCAAGAGAAAATAAAAGAAAACTGGAAGAATTTTGAAGAATCTGCAGGGATCTGAAAGGATCTGTGAGGATCTTAAATGATCTAAGTAGAACTGAAAAATTTGAAGGAATCTTAAGGACGCCTGACGATGTCCCTGAAAGCATCTGAAAAAAATTCCAAAGAATCTGACAAAACTGGAATAATTTGAAAGAATTTTGAGGAATCTGCAGGGATCTGAAATGATATCCAAGGATCTGAAATGATCTGAGTAGAACTGAAAAATTGGCAAGAATCTTGAGGATTGCTAACGATGTCCTTGAAAGCATCTGGGAAAAATTCGAAAAAATCTTAAACAATTTGGAAGCATCGAAAAGAATCCGGAATAATCCGAAAGAATAAAAAAATCGAAAGAATCAGAAAGAGAGAATCGGTAAGAAAATAAAAGAATCTGAAAGCATCTGAAAGAATCTGGAGGAATTTGAGAGAATCTGAAAGAATCTGAGGAAATCTTCACGAATTTTGAAGAATCTGCAGGGATCTGAAAGGATCCGTAAGGATCTAAAATGATCTGGGTAGAACTGACAAATTTGAAAAAAATCATTACAATTGAGATAGGGCGGGTGGGCGGGGCTTATATTTTACCTTTTGTTCTTAATATGTATAGACTTATTTCGACAACAAAAAACTTAAAACATGTCTAAAAAGGTAAATTTGTGAAGCGAACTTTTGAGGAATTCCGAAGAATTCAGAAAAATCCAAGAGAATCTAAAAAAAACCTGGAAGAATATGGAAGAATTTTGAAAAATCTGCTGGGATTTGAAAGGATCTGTAAATATCTGAATAGAATTGAAAAATTTGAAAGTATCTTGAGGATTCCTAACGGGTCTTTGAAAGCATCTGAAAAAACTCGCAAGGATCTGAAACAATCTGGAAGCATCGAAAAGCATCCGAAATAATCGGAAAGAGGGAACTTGTGACAGTCTAAAACAATTAAAAAAAAAAACTGGATGAATCTGGAACAGTCTGCAGGGATCTGAAAAGATCCAAATGGAAAAGTTTGACAGTATCTGAAACGATTTGTAAGGATCTCAAAATTTTGAAAAAATCTGAGGGAGTCTTGACAGATCTTTTGACATAGAAAAATCACACATTTTTGAAGTTAACTAAACACGCAAGTACGACATTATAATTTTTTCAATATCTAGATATTGAGCATCAACTTCTCAACTTATGAACCGCCCCCACAGCAGTGCTAATAAATGCTGAACATAGACAAATTTGTATAAATTACAAAGAGGGTTAATCGGATAGGCAACACATTATACTCGACGACGCTCCAGTCTCTTTTATTTAATCTTCTTATTGCAGAGGGCTGCGCTCGTTTACGACCTTTTCACCGAGGAATCAGACGCGAAGGAGTGGGCCCGGAATTATGATATTTTGTATCGCTGGAAATCTACTTTGAGCTAAATGAAACGCTTTTCTTCGAAACTTCTAATTTCGTTAAACGTGATCCTAAGTGCGTGGGGCACGTATTCGGCATTCGCTTGAACTTTGTCTTTTCGATAATAAATTCACTTAGAGCGAAATTTGAAAATTGGGGCTTGACGTTTTAATACATGCTCGCGTAATGGAGAAAAATGTGTTTACTTACCTGGTCTTAATTGGAAAATGGATGCTCATAATTGTTTAATTTCGTCGACGCAATCGATTTGGCTTTTCCGGCGTCCCTGGAGAAAACAGTGGCAGCCGTCTTAAAATTTTAAATTTAATCCGGCGACCGCGATAACCTAATTAGCGCATCTCATGCAGTCCTGTAATTTATTTCCGTCTGAATTTCCGCTTAATCCAGAACTGTATCTCCGCGGTAATTAACCTCGCCCTTTTTATTTTATTCCAATCCCTTTGTTGCTTTGGCGCGACTCCTCGACAACCCATTTAAAG